CCTGGGGCACAGTGAAGGTACCTCAGGGGCCTTTTGCTTGCCAGGCTTCTGTAGGCACTGCCAGGTGAAGAAAGGACTCTACAGCTAAAATATTTAAACCACTGAATATCCTAAATGTTGCTCCCCAGAGACATATTTAAGAAAAAATTCTCCCAGATTTGTTCATATGCTACCATTTAGTTTAACCAGGTTACATTTAGAAGTAAATCTTATGGGGACTTTTTCCATGTAAAGTGACACATTTATCCCTCTGTAGGGATGGTCCATGGGAAGCAGTTCCAATTCAGATTCCTGTCACTCTGCTGCTGGGCCTGGTGCTCAGGTCTACAGAGAAAAATATTCTGCTATGTAGAATAAATACAGTTTCAATATTCATCAAAATGGAATGCTACAGTGTATGCTTTATCAATGCTATGTAAAAAGATAATGTGAACTTATTAAGGAATCAAATAAGAATCAGGAAGAAAAACTTCACTGCATAGAGCATGAATACCAAGGGATAGTTTCCTTGACTTTATAATTTCTTTTTTTTATATAAAAAAAGTATTTATTTGAGAGAAGGACAGGGAGAGAGCGTGGCGGGGGGGTGGGGGAGGGCAGAGGGAAAGGGAGAAGCAGGCTCCCCGCTGAGGAGGGACACCTATGCGGGACTCGATCCTAGGACCCTGGGACCATGATCTGAGCCGAAGGCAGACGTTTAGCTGACTGAGCCACCTAGGTGCCCTGAGTTTACAATTTCTGATTGCATGAACATTTTTACATAACCAATTGTGTAACCACAATTACAGCTATTTTTTTTTTTACTTAAGAGTATCATACTTTTCTACATTTCCAAAGAAAGACATTATTTTTTTTAAAGATTTTTATTTATTTATGACAGAGAGAGACACAGCGAGAGAGGGAACACAAGCAGGGGGAGCGGGAGAGGGAGAAGCAGGCTTCCCGCGGAACAGGGAGCCCGACGCAGAACTTGATCCCAGGACCTTGGGATCATGACCCGAGCCGAAGGCAGACGCTTAATGACTGAGCCACCCAGGCACCACCAAAGAAAGACTTTAAAATGTTAATATTAATGGTTATACAAAATATCCTTGTGAAGATTGTATTAAAGCATTCTCTGGATCAGAGGATGGTAATTAGGATGGGAGTCCCGAAGAGATGGGTTTCTCCATGTGTTGAGGAGCCAAGGCTGGAGTTACTGGATAATGAAGAGAAAAGCAAGGGATCACAGGTACCAAAGCATCCTTTCTCTTCAGATGGCCAGATATGACATGGCTGGTTCAGGGTGGACAAAGTCAGCAGTACCTGGAGGTGGCAAATATTAAAGGGGACTACAAATATCACTGTCATCTGGTGCGTAGTTTCTCTCTCCATCAGGCTACAAGGGACAGAACAGGAGGACAGTTCTCTGGAAAGGAAGAGGAAGCTAACTAGGCTTAAGCCCTTGCTCCCCTATAAGGAAGGTATTTAGCACTGTACTTGGCATATAGTCTATCTTGCTTAACATCATCACAGCCGGAGTGCTAAACAGTGAACTTTATTGTGGTTCTCAGCTCTATTTGCTTCCTATTTTGGTCCTTAGTTACTCAAATTCTTAGAGGCTTATTCCAGGCCTTTCGAGGTCAGAAGTCCTTCCATCTTCCGAGTGGGGCTCTTCTCTTTCTAGAAGGATCTTGGTGTTAACTGCTAATCACTATCCCTGGGCTTTCTTAGCAATACCTACTCACTCCTGAGTGGCTGACCTCTTGTCTAGTTAGGACTGGGAATCCTCCTCCCAGGCAACATCTCCACCAGAATCCTTTTTTTCCTCCCCTTCTTCTTTCCTGGTCTGAAATAGGAATGAATTCCTGGCCAGAGTTGGAAAGTGAGGAGACTGAGGGAGACCAGAGAATGGGTAGTCTTGCCCACCAGATTAAGTGAGTTTGTGTTTTCTTAGTGTTACTCTGTCCCTTTCTCCCTAAGGCAGAACTGCCTGGTGACAGCTTACATCACACCACTTGCTCCTGACCTGGCTCCCAGCTCCAGCCCAGAATAGGACCTGGAGAGTAGCCTGGCTCCTCTGCCCCTCATGGCTACTTCTGCTCTTTACGGCTGAGCAAACACACCCACGAGGGGGGCAATGCATGCCCGCCTCTGCACAGGCTGTGCCCTAAGCAGGGTGTGCCCACAGGAAGGGCATGTCTCTAATCAGTGGGAAGGCAGAGTGTGTGCTTGCTTGGCCCCATGTAGACTCCTTGCTAAGAAAAGTGTGTGCGCTTTCAGAGGATACATTAGCATTAGGGGAAAAGTCTGCTTTTTCTTTAAAATTTCCTGGATGAAATCTGTGACCAATTTTAAGAAGGTTATGCTTTAGAGCACTATGTAGGAGGAACATGCACACGTCTTGTTACACGTAGCAGCATTCACTCATGGCGCCCACACAATACTTCCAATTCCAATTTCTCTCCCAAGACGGCAACAATTTTCAGACATTTAAAACACTTATATTTTATACTATGCTTACTACCACCGACTAAAGGTGTAATTAACTGTCAGTAGAAATCGCTAGCGGTAGATAAGTTCAATGTTAATCCTGATTTTACAAATCTACATCATGGCTAAGACAATAGATTAGTGAGTATTAGTGAGTATCCACAAGAGTACATAACAATTAAGAAATTGAAGAACTATGCTTTTATTCCTGCTTCCATATGCCAAAGTCTTCGCTTAATGCTAACGTCAATTCCAGAGTAAGAGAAAGCAGGTTTTTTGCATCTCCCAAGCATACTGCAATTCCACTTTTTGCCATTATCTGTGTTCATGTCTCCAAGGGAAAACAGATTTATTATAAAGTCATTTTGGTGTTTAAGAGAGCAAAGTACCATGGATGCTGTCCAAGAAAGCATGTATCAATTTCCACTGTGCAGCAACGAGTCATCATACATAGAATTCAAGTGCAGCAACTCGGAGCCCTCATAAACTGAGTGCTGCAAAGGCACCCAGGATGAGGGAACCATCAAAAGAGTTCACTCTCTAAAGTGTCCAAATGCTTCCCTGCCTCCTTCAACAAAGTAGAACAAATATGACTTAATCTTTCCTCAGTGGGACAATGGATTTGAAGCTAAGAGGACTGGCTTTGACTCACTGAGTCAGTATACACTGGGAGAGTGATTTGAGTCATTCCCTGCACCTTCCTGGGCTAGTCATCTTCATGATGGGATCACTGCATTCTTCAGAGCTGTCTAGAAGATTAGGTCAAACAGCACACATAAAGTACCTAGGGCAGTGCCCTTGCTCTTGCAGAAGATGCTCCATGAAATGTCAGCCTACTTCCTGTCCCTCTGGACACAATCTGAACAGATGAGTTACTGCTGAATGCCACAGGCTTGTTGCTGCTCCGTGGGTATACGCATCAGGAATGGGTCACTGGATGGAATAAACATAGCTCCGGTTCTGGCCCTAGGACTTGCTTTTTTTCTTTTTTTCTCTTTTTTAAGCATCCCTGGCTTTCTTTTTAACTCATAAAAGTGGAATATGAGCATATGACTCCTAAGCAAAGAGATATGGCTGCCCCTCTGCAAACATCTCAAGCAGTTTTCTTACCCTTCAAAAAGTCCCTTTCAGTCCATGTTTCATAAGTCCTTTGTGCCACAGGGATTACATATATATAATTGTGAAAGAAAACACAGGGCAATCAAGGCAAACAATAAGACAGCCACTTATACCTGCCATGTGAGTTTTACCTCAGCCTCTATAGCATTTTTGCACCCTTCTGTTTACTAATTATTTAAATGTTTTGCAGCCTATAACTTCTGATCTGAAACCATTCCATTGTTAATGCAGCTAAATACAAAAGCTACTCATGTAGGTAGTTTTATCAAAGAAACACAACATTTACTATTTCATTCCCATTGCACACCAGCAAAGTATGAGCTATGCGTTATCAATAGTACTTTAGAAGTGGGCAAATGCAGGTGTGACCATATTTCAGACATGAAGAGAGAAATCTACACAAGACAGAATTTAGAGCTCGTATCTGTCTTTACATCTATAAACCAAAAAGCAGCCAACACAAAATTTACTCACCTCACTAGGAATCAGGTTTGGCAACTCTGAACAATAACTGTCCACCTGAATTTTCTAAGGCATGAAATCTGGCTGGGCTGACCCTGAATTTGTGATCCATTTCCTTTGTATTTCCCTTTGCACCTGCTACTTGATGGATGTTTTTTCCTTTCTAACCATTATTTTCATTTCAGCTGCCGAGTTGCCTCAATTACTCTATGAAACAGATCTCAAACTCTACTAGCTCTAGAAAAGAAAATGGACAATATCATATAGTTTAAAAAGCCCCTAAAGGGGAAATTTAGTAGAAAAGTGAGCTCCCAACATTCTTCAAGACCCAAATACCACCTTCTCTGTGAAAGTTTGGACTGATGGCCCCAGCTGACCATATGCTCTTTTTTGTCTCCACCGTATCTTGTATTCTGCTTCTATTATATCTCCCAACACAATGAGAATGTGTGATTATGTCTATGCCTCTTTCCCCCACCAGGATGTGGGCCCGCCAAGAGAAGAGGCCCTTATTTTAGCATAGAAGACACTAAACCTAAGTTGAATAAAATGGAATTAAAAAACAAAAGTTTATAAAAACTTCTTGGAGCTTTACATTTTTTTTAAGCCAATAAAGCCATGATTAAGTAATGGAGCTTCAGTAATAACAATTCAAGTTATTTTGCAAACTCTTTCCCATAAGATGGTTCTTTGGGCTGTTTTAAAATTATACCAGCAAGCCACTGAGCTCAGATTAAAATATTATGTTCCCTGGGTCATATTTAAACTCAAATTGTTTTACTTACCTTTTCATCATTTTAGATATAAAATTAAGGAGATGTGAACTTTTTTTTAAACATTAAAATGAATAACAAGAAAAATACCTAAATCTCACGCCTCAAGGATAATCCCCTCTGGCTAGCTGCAGTTCAAAGGTTAAGCCTCTCAGATGACATGTGGTACCATACCTGGCCCGTGTATGCAAACTCCAGGGCCTGCTTCAAGCCAAGGCTGGTCACGCCATGTAAATTCACTTCGTCTGCTCCACTTTCCACCATACAGAGACTGAACATTGCCTGAGGTGGGAGAGAACGAGAGATACGGGGAGTTATGCAACTTAAAAAGCAAGAAAATGGAGGAGGAGCAAGATGGCGGAGGAGTAGGCGACCTAAATTCCTCCTGGTCCCAGGAATTCACCTAGATAGGTTTCAAACCATTCCTAACACCTATAAACTCAATAGGAGATTGAAGAAAACAATAGCAGCAATTTTCTGAACAGAAAAGTGACCACTCTCTGGAAGGTAGGACATGCGGAGAAGTGAATCCGAGGCGATATCCGGGAAGATAGACTGCAGGGGGAGAGAGCCTCCATCAGCTGCTACCAGCAAGTGATAGAGCTGGGGAGCATAAAATCAGAACTTTTAGAAGTCTACTCTGCTGAGGGACGTTGCTCCAGTGGCTAAGTGGGGGGTGGAAACCTCGCTGGGACAGCGTGGTCTCAGGATCCTCGGGGTCACAGAAAGACCGGGGGTGCCTGAGTGCGGCAGAGCTCCCAGGTATTGGAGCAGGGAAGCCGGATGCAAAAACCAAGCAGAGAAGTGGGTTCTCAGCTCGGGGTTGCCATAAACCATGATCCACGGCACAGTCGGGCCACTGCTCTTCCAGCAGGGACCCAACAAGCGGCAGATCCGGGGAGACTCCCCTTCCTCCCCTGGGGAGGAGCAGGGCAGAGCGCACCACAGAAATCTGCTGGGTTTGGAGACTCCAAACGGGGTCGTGTGCCAGAGACAGAAACACTTGAAAGGCTCGCAAATGGGGTCGTGTGCCAGAGATAGAAATGCTCGTCACAGGCTGGGTGAGCACGGAATACGGCCAGAGACCAGGGAGAGAGGAGTGATTGACTGCTTTCCTCTGGGGGCTCACTGAGGAGTGGGGCCCCAAATTCTCGGCTCCTCCGGGGCAGAGACTGGGAGGCCGCCATTTTCACTCTTGTCCTCCAAAGCTGTACGGAAAGCTTGCAGGGAACAAAAGCTCCCAGGAGGAAAACGGAGCAGATTACTTAGCCCGGCCTCCGGCAAGGGCAGGGCAATTCCATCTCTGGCAAAGACATTTGAGAACCCCTGCGACAGGCCCCTCCCCCAGAAGATCAGCAAGAACAGCCTGCCACGACCAAGTTTACCAATCAATGAGAACAGCAGAATGCCAGCACTAGAGGAATACAGCACATAGAATTCATGGCTTTTTTTCCCCATGATTCTTTAGTCTTTCAAAGTTAATTTTTTAAATGTTCTTTATTTTTTTCTTTTTCTATTTTTATTTGAATTTTTCATTTTCCCTTTTTCAACCAACATCTTATCAATTCCATGTTTCAAAATCTTTTTTATTTTTCATTTTTAGAGTCATATTCTATCCTTTCATTGTAGTTAACCTTATTCTTTATATATATGTATATATATATATATATATATATATATATATGTATATGTATATAAGTTGTTCTCTCTTTAAAACTGTTGGATACAGTTTCTTCGAACAGACCAAAAATATACCCTAAATCTCTAGTGTATGGCTTTGCTCTAGTCTCCTGGCTGATAACATTCTCTCCCTTTTTTTTTTTTAATTTCTCTTCTTTCTTTTTTCAACCAACTTCTTATCAATTCCTTTTATAAAATCTTTTATAATATTCATCTTTACAGTCATATTCCATCCCTTCATCATATTTACCCTTATTTTTGTACATATGTTTTTCTTTCTTTAAAATTTTGGGAGGCAGTTTCTTCTAACAGACCAAAATACACCCAAAATCTAGTGTGTGGCACTGATGTATTCACCAGCCTGATCATATTTGATCATATTCTTTTCTTTCTTTCTTTCTTTCCCTTTCTTTTCCCCCGGGTTTCGGGTCTCTTCTGATTTGTTTAGTGTATATTTTTCTGTGGTCGTTTTTACCTTGTTAGCATTTTGTTCTCTCATTCATCTATTCTCCTCTGGACAAAATGACAAGATGGAAAAACTCATCTCAAAAAAAAAAGAACAAGAGGAGTACCGACTGCCAGGACCTAATCAATACAGACGTTAGTAAGATGTTGGAACTAGAGTTAAGAATGACGATTTTAAAGGTACTAGCTGGGCTTCTAAAAAGCATGGAAGATACTAGAGAATCCCCTTCTGGAGAAATAAAAGAACTAAAATCTAACCAAGTTGAAATCAAAAAGGCTATTAATAGGGTGCAATAAAAAATGGAGGCTCTAACTGCTAGGATAAATGAGGCAGAAGAGGAAATTAGTGATATAGAAGACCAAATGATGGAGAATAAAGAAGCTGAGAAAAAGAGATAAACAGCTACTGGATCACGAGGGCAGAATTTGAGAGATAAGTGATACCATAAGACAAAACAATATTAGAATAATTGGGATCCCAGAAGAGGAAGAAAGAAAGAGAGGGGCAGAAGGTATATTGGAGCAAATTATAGCAGAGAACTTCCCTAATTTGGGGGAAGGAACTAGGTATCAAAATCCAGGAGGCACAGAGAACCCCGCTCAAAATCAATAAAAATGGGTCAACACTCCAACATCTAATAGCAAAACTTACAAGTCTCAGAGACAAATAGAAAATCCAGAAAGCAGCTCAGGACAAGAGGTCTGCAACCTAGAATGGTAGAAACATTAGATTGGCAGCAGACCTATCCACAGTGACCTGGCAGGCCAGAAAGGAATGGCATGTTATATTCAGAGCACTAAATGAGAAAAACATGCAGCCAAGAGTACTATATCCAGGTACGCTGTTATTGAAAATAGAAGGAGAGATAAAAAGCTTCCAGGACAAACAAACAAAAACTAAAAGAATCTGCAAACACCAAACCAACCCTACAAGAACCCTTTCAGTAGAAAGGGGTCCTCTAAGCAAAGAGAGAACCTAAAAGTAACATAGACCAGAAAGGAATAGAGACGATATACAGTAACAGTCACCTTACAGGCAATACAATGGCACTAAACACATATCTTTCAACAGTTACCCTGAATGTAAATGGGCTAAATGCCCCAATCAAAGGACACAGGCTATCAGATTGGATAAAAAAAAACAAGACCCACTGACATGCTGTCTGAAAGAGACTTGTTTTAGACCCAACGACACCTCCAGATTGAAAGTGAGGGGGTGGAAAACCATATACCATGTAATGGACAGCAAAAGAAAGCTGGGGTGGCAATCCCTATATCAGACAAATTAGATTTTAAACCAAAGACTATAAAATCGATGAGGAAGGACACTATATCCTACTTAAAGGGTCTATCCAACAAGAAGATCTAACTATTTTAAATATCTATGCCCCTAACATAGGAGCAGCCAATTATATAAGGCAATTAATAACAAAATCAAAGCAACACATTGACAATACAATAATAGTAGGGCACTTTAACACCCCCCCCTCAGTGAAATGGACAAATCATCTAAGCAAAAGATCAACAAGGAAATAAAGGCTTTAAATGACACACTGGACCAAATGGACTTCACAGATATATTCAGAACATTCTATCCCAAAGCAACAGAATACACATTCTTCTCTAGTGCCCATGGAACATTCTCCAGAATAGATCACATCCTAGGTCACAAATCAGGTCTCAACCGGTAACAAAAGACTGAGATCATTCCCTGCATATTTTTGGACCACAGTGCTTTGAAACTAGAACTCAACCACAAGAGGAAAGTCAGAAAGAACTCAAATACATGGAGGCTAAAGAGCATCCTACTAAAGAATGAATGGGTCAACCAGGAAATTAAAGAAGAATTAAAAAAATTCATTGGAACAAATGAAAATGAAAACAACTGTTCAAAATCTTTGGGATGCAGCAAAGGCCATCCTAAGAGGAAAGTATATAGCAATACAAGCCTTTCTCAAAAAACGAGAAAGGTCTCAAATACACAACCTAAACCTACACCTAAAGGAGCTGGAAAAAGAACAGCAAATAAAGCCTAAACCCAGCGGGAGAAGAGAAATAATAAGATCAGAGCAGAAATCAATGAAATAGAAACCAAAAGAACAGTAGAACAGATCAACGAAACTAGGAGCTGGTTCTTTGAAAGAATTAACAAGATTGATAAGCCCCTGGCCAGACTTATCAAAAAGAAAAGAGAAACAACCCAAATAAATAAAATCATGGATGAAAGAGGAGAGCTCACAACTAACACCAAAGAAATACAAACAATTATAAGAACATATTATGAGCAACTATATGCCAGCAAATTAGATAATCTGGAAGAAATGGATGCATTCCTAGAGATGTATCAACTACCAAAACTGAACCAGGAAGAAAGAGAAAACCTGAACAGACCCACAACCGCTAAGGAAATTGAAGCAGTAATCAAAAATCTCCCAACAAACAAGAGCCCAGGGCCAGATAGATGGCTTCCCAGGGGAATTCTACCAAACATTTAAAGAAGAAGTAATACCTATTCTTCTGAAACTGTTCCAAAAAATAGAAATGTAAGGAAAACTTCCAAACTCATTTTATGAGGCCAGGATTACCTTGATCCCAAAACCAGGCAAAGACCCCATCAAAAAGAATTACAGACCAATATCCCTGATGAACATGGATGCAAAAATTCTCACCAAAATACTAGCCAATAGGATCCAACAGTACATTAAAAGGATTATTCACCATGACCAAGTGGGATTTATTCCTGGGCTGCAAGGTTGGTGCAACATCCACAAATCAATCAAGGTGATACAATACATTAGTAAAAGGAAGAACAAGAACCATATGATCCTCTTAATAGATGCAGAAAAAGCATTTGACAAAGTACAGCATCCTTTCGTGATTAAAACTCTTTAGAGTGTATGGATAGAGGGTACATACCTCAATATCATAAAAGCCATCTATGAAAAACTCACAGCGAATATCATTCGCAATAGGGAAAAACTAAGAGCTTTTCCCCTAAGGTCAGGAACATGGCAGGGATGTCCACTATCACCACTGCTATTCAACATAGTACTAGAAGTCCTAGCCACAGCAATAAGACAACAAAAAGAAATAAAAGGCATCCGAATCAGCAAAGAAGAAGTCAAACTCTCACTCTT